GATTGATGGCTGGACTGATGATCTTAGAGGTCCTTTCCAACTCTACGTGATTCCTAGTTTTACTTTCATTAAAAAATTAATCCAGCCACCAAGCCAGGAAACATGAAAGTAATTATTCCTCTACCCTTAATTGGTTTAGTGGCGGACTTGGTAGTGTTAGGCTAAGGGTTGGACTGGATGATCTTAAAGGCCTTTGCCAACCTAAACCATTCTATGATTCTGTAACATGGTACATAATCTGCTATGCCAGAACAATGGACTGTGATGTTCACGATTCAGTTAGGGAAAGTTCTGCTTCTTTTTTTAACCGTGTACCAAAAATATTCCACATTAGCTCACTGGAGAGTAAAGGATGGTTTTAAGTTAGAGCATTCTTTTCTGTTGCACTTGATGATATAATTTGCTGACATAATTTATAGCATAAGTAATGAAGAGACACTGTTTTGAAGATCATGGGGAGAGCGTTCCAAAAGTCAACAAATCTGTAACTAAAAATTGGAACTTTCAGAGATGCAGGCGTATTGACAGTATAAATAAGCAGTACGTTTTCCAGACACACTTTCAATGCTTCCCTGAGCTTGCTGATCTGTTTCCTTAAACAAACAAGCAAGCAGACAAAAATGCACAACCAAGTACATCATAATTACTTTTAAAAAAGGTACACTAGATTGGTGTATTAAAACAAACCAACCCATCCCTTGCCATCCCATTTCATTTTAGCGTGTGAAAGTTTACAACATAATTAGCACTAATGTGCATATTTCGGGCAAAAATCCTAGTATCAGCACTATTGGTTGCTTGCTAGGTGTAGGAAAACATCAGTGGATTTTAAAAATACAAGTACATTGTTATTCCACAACCACAGCCATATGTGGAAGTCTATTAGTTTCTTTTCAGTGACATCTTAAGCATAGATTTATTGACAAAATCATTAACAGTGAGGCACAGAACCACATATCTGCCAAGGACTGAAGAGCTTGGGAACTCAGGCACAAGAGTATCCCTTGCGATTCTGAAGTGTTCCTAGGCTTTAAAAGTTGTGGTGGGGTTGTTTTTGTTTAGTTGGGGGGTTTTTGTGTGTTGGGTTTTTCGTGGTTTTAAGGCCTCATGGTTCTGAAGGGTGGTAGGGTACGGCAGTTTCAAGATTTCAATAGGTTGTGGGTTGTTTAGTTTTTAAAATAGTTTTTCTGTGATTGCTGCATTGTAGGCAATGCATGAGCCACGCTATTATGTCTTTAACTGCAGGATTGTCCAAGGGTGGGTGATCTTGTAAAGGAAAATGTTCTTTTTCTAGAAACAAACAATGATTCCTTAAATACACTGAATTAACAGACTTTTTTATGCAGGTTGGTTTGTTTCTTGCATGTGCAGTAAACTCATTACACCTCCAATTCTGTGTTTCAGAGGAATTCGATGCAATCTTAGACTTTGCTTCATTTCAGATGTTCTGCAGGCTTTACGGAGCTCTGTAGTATATGCTTCATGTGTTAAAGTTGTCTAAGAATAGTTATAAAAGCCCACAACAGATAAATAAATGATCATCCCTATCTATTTAAGATAACCTGTACAGAATTCTTGGGCCTTGTGCCCACCAATGCATATTCACTTTCATGTCAAGCGTAACTGCTGCTTTTCTTTTTGTTTCTGCTTTTAATGCTTAGCTTACTACTTTGCTCTTCTGTAACTTTTATTTGCTGGTGTTTTATTTCTTCTTTGCTTCTTCATCTGGCTTTCTGCTTCTTGGGATGACTGAAGATCGCATCAGGAGTGTCAGTGCACCAGTGCTAGGTACTGTACCCAAACAAGATGCAACTTCAACGTGAATTTTGCTGCTTACTTTTTTTCCCTTTCCTTTTTCCCTCCCTTTCTCTTCCCTATGAAATACGAATACCAAGTGGGCCATCCAGATTGATTTCCTTAAGGGTGTTACTGAAATGAAGTAACAGCTTTTGCTGTATGGCATTCTTTAAAATACTTGTTGTTTCATTCTGTTTTCACTGAAGTCAGCAAAAAAATTCCCACTGATTTTGATGGAGGAGTTTTGGTATTAAGAATAGGCAAGGCAAGAGTCTGAAGAGTCTGCTTCAGCCCGAAGACATTGAATTGATTAAAATAATGTATTTAAATATAAATGACTGAAATAACAACGCTATTTTACCCAGTGTTTTTTATCATTTTCTTTTTTGTATCAAATGTACAGCAACTGTTTTTTTCACCTTCTGAGCATGGGGTTTTTTAATACAAGAACAATTTTATAGATACCTTTACCTTTTTTTATTATGTTCTGCATTTAAACATTAGTCTCCCAGATAACAACTTTGTTAATCATTAGTATAAAATATGACTATGTTACTGTTCTTAACCCAGGAGAAACAGAGAATGTGGATGGCACAGTAGTGTCGGATGACTTTTCACCTCTTTCTTCGGGAACGGATTCAGGTCCACAATCTCCATTGTCTCCAGAAAACAGAAAGAGTCCAAAAGGGATCAAGAAAATCTGGGGAAAGTAAGATATGTGTGTGTATATATATATTGGGTGGTGGTTTTTTGTTTTGTTTTGTTTTTTTTTTTTTAGTTCACTCTCAAAGCATTTTGGCTGAGAATGAATCCAGTTCTCAGCAAAGCTATACTATCTACAGCAAGAATAAAGTAAAATTCAGGAAAAGGAGAGAAGGCAGCTCTGTGATTGTATGGGGTTGTGTCTATGTACACATGGGTGCAGAAAAATGGATGGTAGTGTTTCACAGCATCATGCTGTTGGGAAAAATAATACACTTTGCTATATTATTATAACACTAATAATTCAGAATGCCAACAGTGTTTCATTAGCTATGAAAAAGTAAATGATAGCAAGGTGCTCATTACAGAAGCCATCAGGTAAAAAAATGACAGAAAATAGAAGAAACAAAAAGCAGAGGCCTGAATTTCACTGTGTTTGCTTTATCCACTTCAGGACAGCAGACACTTACCAGTCTGGCCTGCAGTGTGAATTATTACTTGGGCTGAAGGGTTATGCCTGCTCTGCCGAGCTTTTTTGCCCTTTCCTCACAGTTAGGTCTAGACCGTGTTTGCCTGGCACTTCTTCAGCTACCACTTGAATTAGGTGTTTGTGGTTTACAGGAAGATTAATACAGCTTCTAGTTGTCACTATAGTTTCCGTATGAAACAAGTGTTCTCTGTTGCAAGCTAATAGTGCTATTCTTGGCACTCTTGTCTTGAAAGAATAAGAAGAACTCAGTCAGGTAACTTCCCTGCAGACGATCTGGGTTTGGCAGAGTTTCGAAGAGGTGGTCTCCGTGCAACAGCTGGACCTCGGTTATCCAGATCAAAGGAAACCAAAGGCCAGAAGAGGTAATGGTTCCTTCTTCACCTTGCACAGCATATTATGTGGTATTGTTAAATGTGCTGAACAGACAGACCCTCCTCTTGTGAAATACGTTTTTTTCCCTAACATACTTCATTACACATGGAATTCCGCAACAACTGGAAAGAATTTCTCTGGTATGAAATCTGTCCTGAGTAGCTCACTCATCTGCACTCCTTCAACTGCAGGTTGCAGCACTACAGTTCTTTGTTGGAGTGTCAAAAAATTTCACCTTGTTAAAGAACAAGAAATCTTATCATTAGCTCATGTGGGAATATCTGCAAAGTGATGAGGATTCAGCAATTCCCTTTTTCCTCTTTTCAAACAGAAACTGGGAAGTTCTTATTTTCCACCCACCCATTCACCCCAACTGTTCACAAGTTGAGGCTGGGCGGTCAAATGAACTAGCACCCCTGCATAGGGGGGACTGCAAGAATGGCTGTTGGCTTTTATTATTGCACAGAACACAGCACACCAAAACATACGCTGTAATACTGCCTCAGCATGTGATGAGCTTTCTGATAATAACCATAATTCTTTCCTTTAAGAGTTTCAAACATTTCTTGTACGTTTCAGTGACTACAATGCTCCGTTTGCTCAGTGGAGCACTGAAAGAGTTTGTAACTGGCTTGAGGACTTTGGTCTCGGTCAGTACGTCATTTTTGCACGGCAGTGGGTGACTTCAGGCCATACACTGTTAACTGCGACGCCTCAGGACATGGAAAAGGTAATAATCTGTTTCTCTCAAGCAACCATACTTGTTGATTCTGTACAACCAGGCCCCTTCAAACAATTGGCAAGTTCTACCTTTCTGAAATATGTAGTATCTATTTTTGTAGATACCTAATGAGATGAAAAGAGCCAGAGGCAAGGCAAACTATTTGTTAACGGTTATTGTTGCAGGAAATGGGCATAAAGCATCCACTGCACAGGAAGAAATTAGTTTTGGCCATTAAATCAATAAATGCAAAACAAGAGGAGAAGTCTGCGCAACTTGATCATATCTGGGTGACACGTAAGTGTTTGAACTATCATGGAATTGTTTCGAAGGGAATTTCCCCTGCCCCTGTGGATGGGCTGCCTGATACATTTGTTTAAGCAGCTACCAAACATCATTTTAAGAGCACTAAGTTCCAACATAGTAAAATTTTCCATAGAATGAGGATTTTTACGTTGTTCTTGACATCCAAATATACAGCTATGCAGTATGATCTCCCAGTGGGAACTCTTGTCATTCACATTGCAGGGAAGTAAACAGTGGTGGGGGTTCAGTCTAGGAAGAGCTATGTTATGCCGCAGAAGGTATGCGCCCAGTCACACACTGTGTAAATATATCACAGGGGCATTGTGGACAAAGCTGTTCAGTGGGAATTGCTTTTAGACTTCTGGTAAAAGACCGTCCTTTGGAAAGGTGAATAGGTAGAACAAGCTACCCAAATGCCTCCGAAGAAGCCAGCCCAGACAAGAAGGGGAGAAGGGCTTCATTCCCACTGATCTGGATATGGGTACACCACTGTTCTTGTATCTGCAGGATGGCTTGATGATATTGGTTTACCTCAGTATAAAGACCAGTTTCATGAATCCAGAGTTGATGGGAGAATGTTGCAGTACTTAACTGTGGTAAGCTAAAATCCTTTTCCCTCAGTTTAACCAAATTTAATTTCAGAATGACCAAATAATTTTACAATTTTCCTTTGAATGTGAGCAGTTAAAGAACATTTTGCAAGACAGAAATAGTGCCAGTAGTAACTCGTTTGTGTTGTCTAGTGCATGATTACTATTTCTAAGGCATGTAAAATAAGTCATAGGCTATATTATAGCTAACTTTGGCAAAGTCTTTCTTTTTGATATCATATAGCGTGCCACAGTTGAAGGTATAATGACCTATTTTGCACGCAGCTTCTGGAGCGTGTTGTTCTCCACACCAAGTTAGCATCAATATTCAGTACGCTAAAGATAAGCAGCAAATCAAGTAATTTGTACAGCTCCGACCATGTTAGCAGCAAACCATGCACTACACATGCCACTGTGTTTTCTTAGTTTCCCTGCCCAGGTTTAGACAATTAAGTATTTGGTTTTGTTAACTGTGCTATGAAAAAAATGCCTAATTTAGCTGTTATCAAAAGTACAGCCTTGTCTACACTGCTTAAGGAGCCTTTGTTGCAGGAACATGGTCCCTACTGTTCCCTGCCTAGGTGTGTGTTGCTAGCTGCAGTGATCCTACCCACAACAGGGTCTTAGCCAGATCAGAAACAGTTCAAATATTTTAAAACTATCCACGAGGCTGGATTTTACTTAGTAGGCTACAAGCTCTCCTTCATTTTTTAGCCAGGTCTTGCTATGGTGCAATGTTTTAAAAAAAACAACCAAACAAAAAACAACACAACAAAACAACAAAAAAAAACCCTCCAAAACCCCCACCCTAAAAACCCTCTTTAAAATATACACTTTTATTTTACCTAAACCATAGTTACTGTGGTTTATATAAAACTATACAGCAAGCTTAAAATCTTTCTTCCTGGGGGAAGTACCTCTTTTGGTATGTATTCTGTGCCACTTAAAAGGCTCTCTCCTTTACAGAATGACCTTCTTTTTCTGAAAGTCACCAGTCAGCTGCACCATCTGAGTATTAAATGTGCCATTCATGTGCTGCATGTCAACAGTTTTAACCCCCACTGTCTACGCAGGAGACCAGTTGAGGAGGTAAAAGAATGTTTAAATAATTTAATTTAAACAAGCACTAATTACCTGATTCTAGCCAAGGGGGATAGAAAATGAGCACTGTATAATGATGCAATAGAATCACTGCTACTAGGGAATTGCGTCTAAAGCAGTAGATGCGCCGCTTTCCAGCTCTGGAATGTAACATGTACTCACCCATAATAAAAATCTACTCACTCCTTAAGTGCTTGAACCACTTATTAGTTGCATCTCATGTGCTTCCCTTCAGAAATTATTTGCTTAGTTTGAAGAATAATTTGAATGTTGTTTCTTGCCTGTCCTAATTTTTAACTCTCAAAAACTGTAAGGTTTTTGCCTTACCTGGTCAACACAGTTTATTCTCTTGGTATTACAGACTGACAATAATACTGGTCTCAAAATGCTCCCTTTTTTACACCCAGCATCTATAGTCTCTATTGTTACACTGCTTGATGCAATATATGGGGTTTCATCTGTACTAGACTATGCCTGCCATCTCAGAGGCTGTTTGAAAGAGGCCTTGAACAGAAACAATACCTTAGGATTGGGGAAAAAATACTGCTCTTTGAGGAAGAACAATGTTTTTATCTGAACTGAGGATACATACTGTGAACACGCAGCGACAATGCAGGCTGTATTGTCATTGTCTTTTCTGGTTACTTTAACAGAATAACGTTTCACCTTCTGAAGTAGTGCAGTGGTCCAATCACAGAGTGATGGAATGGCTCAGATCAGTCGATCTGGCAGAATATGCACCAAACCTTCGAGGAAGTGGAGTGCACGGTGGCCTGATTGTAAGAATTTGTTTTACTACATATCTAATAAAAATCGACAGGCTGTAATATAAAACATCTTTTATCTGGTGTTTGTCAAGCAGGAGGAAACAAATACATCTGCAATATGACAGCATAATCAGGCCTTCTAAAGAGCCTCTGCACCTGATCCATGCATCTTAATTTTACAAAGGAAAACTAAAATAAAAAAGGAACTACTAAAATATTTTTTTTATAATCAAAAGCTGAGCTGTGTGTGAGTGTTTAACAGCAGTACATAAAAAAAGCAACAACCCCAAACTGTACTGTGGGAAAGTTACGTATTGATACGGTATCATTCAGTGTTTCTTTGAATGGTTTTAATTGAATTTTGAGCCACAGCAAATAACTGTCCTGAACTCACAGCAGTCTTGCCAGCAATCAGGAATGACATTTTTTAATTCAAAACATTCAGAAGTATTCACAGCTTAGTAAAGTCGGAGTTCTGAAATACCATGATTCTAATGCCATAGAACTTTTGCAGAAATGAAATAGAAAAAATCGTGCTAAGATTAAGTTAATACTCTCAGAGTAGAGCAGAAAAATCTGAAAACAAATTTGTTCAATCCAAACAAATGTAAGGTTTGATGATAAATATAGATAAGTTTTTACCTGATCACACTCTGTGTTTCTTAGTGCCTACTTTCAGGTGTTTCCCATTCAAACCCTCGTGAGTATCATATCACGAGTGAGTTATAAAAGGTCTAATGTAGATAGATAGCTTAGTAAGAATGAGAAATCCTGATAAGCACTGTAATGGCTTACTATTGCAAGTATTTAGCTGTATTAAAAAATAAATATTCTGCCATTTTTTAATAGATTCTCGAGCCTCGCTTCAATGGTGACACACTGGCAATGCTGCTGAATATTCCACCTCAAAAGACCCTACTGCGACGCCACCTAACGACCAATTTTAATGTATTAATTGGACCAGAGGCACAACAAGAGAAAAGAGAAATAACGGAGACAACGACATACACACCTCTGACCACCACTGCCAAAGTTCGGGTACGTACTGCTTTCAAAAAGGGGGTATTTCAGACTTCCTCTCCTTTGTCTTATAAAGAAAATAAGGGACAAACATGGGCAGGGAGAGGTCAGTTCTAGAAGGAATGTTACATTTTCCTTAAGTCTAGATACCAAGGCATTTAATTGGTATCTGTTTAAATCAGCTTCTGAAAAAAGCATGCAATCCCTTCTGTCTTGTCTTCAAAGGAACACTACCTAAACATATTTAAAATCAACTGTAACTCCCAATTTGAAAACAAGTAAATTTATTTAGTTCAGAATCTATGTACTTTAAGGACTAGGGTATAGCAGTTAATCAAAAAGGAGAGGATTTTGAATGTTTAAAGGACAAGCTTATCTGTCTTATTTAAATCTTGTTGACATCTTATTTTAGCCAAAGAAACTTGGATTTTCACATTTTGGAAACTTAAGAAAAAAGAAATTTGATGAATCAACAGACTACATCTGTCCTATGGAAACAAACCCAGCTGCTACGAATGGTACTCTGAAAAACTACAGTGGATACAAAGGACTTAGTCCATTCACTGATAGAGAACTGGATCAGGTGGGACAGACTGACTGATGCCATTCTCATCTCATCCTCTCCATGCATTCCAAAGCTTGCAAATAACCAAATGTTAGCATATAACAAAGTATTTGCTACATCCGCATGAACTCATTGAGAAAGTACTGGCTATGGACACTGGAAAGAGTTCTATACTAAGAATGTCAGGTTAATTCTTTTAATCAACATAATAATAAACTCATCCAACTTCAAGCCCTTTTTCAGGAATATAACACCTTTACACTATGAAGATCAATGTATTATGACAATTAAGGTGGAGGTTGCAGTAAACATAAGACTTTTGTACTTCTAGCTTTCATATGTGAAAAGTGTGGCACACTACTTTTTTCATTATCTTCATGGGTGGTTTTTAATAAATTTATTTGGATGAATTTGTACAAAGCTGTCAAGTTATATATTAAAGTACAACTGGATTGTCTATTTTTAACAGGCATTAATCAAAGAATCCAACTGCATTTTTCCTTATGTACAGTGGGGAGTAGTTATGCTTAGACAGTATATGTGAAAACAGTGCATCAGTAATGAATAAGATTATTAATAAACCAGTACTTAAATAATGCATTTTTGTTATGTAGTAGTTGAAAGCGTGAATGAAACTGTCCTGACATCATACAGACAAATGATGAAGACTAAAACCCATCAAATTTTATTCAACTTTGCTGTCGTGTAAAGGGATGTAAACCCTGAAAAATGGAGTTCCTGGAGTCTTGTGTGAACTTTGGCAACACACAAGAGCCAGAGGCAGCTGGGGTAAACTGCCCTATCTCCAGTGACCTTAAGCGAGATAGAAACACTTTAAACCTAATAAGAGAATGGTCCCAAAATTGAAAAAGACTAATTGTGAAAGTAACTTTTTCCTTTGCATGGTTTACTGCATCTAACATCTCATTTGTTTTCATTACCTAACAGTTCTTTTTCATTGTACACCTTAGCAGAATAAAATACTGTTCCTAAGCGGGGACAATACCAAATCCTGACTATAATTTAGTATGGATGTCCACTTGCACAGTTAAGAGTTGCAAGTGAATGCATTAACTTTGAGCCAACAGCTTACACTATGCAGTTGTTCAAGCATTCCAAAAATACAGGATTTTTCTCTAGGAGCATGGTCTTTCAATTAAGCATGACTTCTGAGCATGTGGTCATCCAGTGAAATCTCAGTGCCCTAGACTGTATCATGAAGGACTCTAACCGCTTGCCTGTGGAACATGACTACCAGAAGTATAATAAGTGTTACACCATCTGGAAAATACTACTCTACACTGACAATATCACAGTTAAGCTTTTTCCTTTCTTGTGCTAGTTACAGCTCAAGTTTCATGGAATCAATCTTCCTTAACCAGGATTCACTCCTCCTATCATTAAATGCATTTTTCACATAACTTAAAGCATGGAAGCATTTTTTGTTAAATGTGCAGAAATCCGAGCTTTTAAATGTACCACAACTTCATTTGTCCAGGCACAGATACCACCCAAAGATGCATGTAGAGTGAATAAAATTGCACGTACTGTCTGATTTGAACTAGTTCCTGAATACTTTTACAGATGGAACATTCAGAAGGAACAGTAATGCAAATAGGGGCTCTTTCTCAAGGCATAAGCCATCTTACGGTATGTACTAATTTCACGCTTGTTTTAAAGTCACAAATGTATTCTGCTAGAATTCAGTGAAAGTTGGTCATTGCTGGTGCTAGTTAAGAGTATGGGGGGGGTCATTATTCTTGTTAAATACCTCTTTGTAGCCTGGTTGCACATTCACAGTCAAAAAAAAAAAAAATCCTGGTTTTAAATTGCACTAGAAATCAAGTTTTGTTTAGGCTTATTTGAAGCTCTTGTGAACTAACTCATTTTGACCCGATGACAGATATTCATCCCCTTAAATGCAAACAATTCTTCAAAGATTTTGCAAGTAACCACCCTCAAATACCTCAGTCACAGCAAAGTCTAGCAAAGAGGAAGAGACTTGAAAAATTTACATGAGCTAAAACTCCATGGAAAACAAAACAAAACAAAAAATTGTATTAATTCCTGACTCCATAGCAGCTAATTAAAAAAAAAAAAAAATAGTTGACTGAAAGGTATAATGAAGAATTACATAACATAGTTGAGTCACATGCTATGCACAATCTCTGTGAGAATTTCCTCAAGCAAGTAAATTTATTTAAAGCTGCATTCAAGAAATTCCTTTTAATTTTATGTGGCTCAAACTCCCTCTGTTGTGAATCTGATCGCATTACAGTTGGATTTCTTTAACTATAGGCCTCTAACTGAACATGCTTACTTGTTCACATCCTGTTTTTTTCAGACAATGTTAAGCCAAGATGAAATGCTGAATGACAGCAGATTTTTAACACCTACCTTTGAAGACTAGAGATGATGTTTCAACATGACCAAGAACACTAATACCTCATGCCTGGCCAGAGGGGTGGCCAGGAGAAGCTTGATGCTGCGGTGCAGAAAAGCTTTACCTCTTTTCTGCCAATGAGACTTACCACATAGCACTTAATATTGTCAATGTAGCAACACATTACAGGTAACTCTCCTCCGTGCTGTTTTCCATATTTTGTAATGTGAAACAGGTGTTGAGAGAGAAGTGGTACTCATATCCCAGAGTCTGGAAAGCCAAGACTGGCAACGTGTTTTACCCTTTTATTCAGTCATCTTTTACATGGTATGTTTATCTACTGTTACATGAAAGATCTTTTGTAATTTTTTATTTTTATAATTAACTTGTAATGCAGGAATCATTAATAGTCTGTAGACTAATAGAGCCACCTAGAAATTCAGGCAGATGCTGGTGAGTGCAGCGGTAATGGCTCACTAACTACTACTGCAGTCTTGTCAGAGACTGTTTCCCATAAAAGGATTTTAAATCTCTCATCCCTTTCATTAGCACATGTCCTGCCCTCTTTTTATCTAAGTGCATGCAGTGTAGAATGGGAAGAATGGAACATAATACTGTCCATCAAGCCCCTGCTTTTATCAGGAGGATGACAGCCAAGATGGCATGTTCCCAAATCTTCACCTAACTCAAAAAGATGCTGAACAACTACAGCAGGAAATGTAACTTTGAGAGTACCAGAAAAACTGATGGACTCAAAAGCTGGTACTTCATTTAAAGTGATTTTTTTTTTTTAAATCATGTGATTTTTACATGTTCACTAAGATGTTCACAATCAAGAGGCACTCACAACACTTAACTAATGTAAAATGGAACTTTAAGAATGGTGTTTGCTGTACCCTGTAGGGTAAGTGCAACAGAATTTCCAGCATGATCCATTGTTTAGTTTTAAATGACAGTCCTTTAACTAGAACTATTGAATGGGCTCTTTCTGTGCACTGGTGTTTTGCCTGAAATGGCTAGTGCTGACACGCATGTGCAAGCATCAGGATGCTCAGAAGCCTTCTAAACAGTCAAAATGGTTCAGACAGTTTCCTGAGCCCCATCCCTGATAGGTCTGAAACATAGCACAGGCTCCCAGGAAGGCAGGGATGGTAATAAGCCTATTTGCTTTCCATAGTCACACCTAATTAAACATATGGCTGCAAACAGCCCTAAGTACTACTGGACAATGCAGTAGAAACACTTTTGTAACGTTTGCATGAGAACTGGTGATGTTGTAAACAATATTGCTGTTCACTCTCAGTTCTCTTTTCATTCCAGCTACAGATTGATTTTCAGAGTACTTTATTTAGCAATAGGAGACAAACAGTACTGCTCTGTGATGTGTAAAATGTCACTAAGGAGCATCAAGCAAGTACCATAATTTTTGTTTCTTTAAAACACCTGACAAAATAGATCTATTGCTATTCTACTGAGCTAGGCAGGACTGCAGCACTCTAACAGAGGGAAATTTGGCCTCTCACTACTTACTTGAAGGGCTCTTCAAGGGGAAAGTGTCACCTTTACAGCAGCAATTGTTTGTGGCATCTGTTGACACATGCGTCATATTAATAAGGTTTTAACAAGATACTTTAGGGAAACACCAGAAAAGAAATCTGCTCAGTTGTAAAGGAAGACTTAGTGTGTGTGTGTGTATATATGTATGTATATATATGTATATGGACGGTTTCCATTACTCTCTCCTGGCTGGCTGCAGGGTGTTGATTTACATATTAATACAGCCTGAGGGCAGGTCACTCCCAGCCATAACCCTCCCAAATAAAGGGGAAGTCTCAGGTATGATCCAGAGTATGCAGCAAGGGCTCTTCGAGAGCTATTAGTGGCACTTTTTAAAGGTGACTTATTCTAGTCCTCATTCCATGAGCCTCTCATGAGAGACCCTGCACTGTATGGTCAGATTTTAGAAGCTAAACATATGATTTTATTGTCCAAAATGGTAAAACCAAGGCAAATTTTTTTCAATCACTGAACAATCATAGAATCATAGAATCATTTAGGTTGGAAAAGACCTTTAAGATCATGCAGTCCAACTATTAACCTAACATTACCAAGTCCACCACTAAACCAATTAAGGGTAGAGTAGCAATTTCATGTTTCCTGGCTTGGTGGCTGGCTTCTTTATAATGAAAGGGAAAACTAGGAATCATTAAGATTGGAAAGGACCTCTAAGATCATCATTCCAATCATCAACCCAACACCACCATGCCCACTAAACCATGTCCCAAAGTGCCACATCTACCCATTTTTTGAACACTTCCAGGGATGGTGACTCCACCACCTCTCTGGGCAGCCTGTTCCAATGCTTGACTACCCTTTCCATGAAGAAATTTTTCCTAATATCCACTCTAAATGAAATGATAATGGACAATCCAAAGGGAGGAGAAGTCAGTCTACACATCAGCAAACTAAAAATGCTTAATAAAAGGTATTAAACATACTAGTCAAATACATCTCTGATCTGGCAATGCAATCGACACTAGTGACCAGATCATGTACTACAGGTATTTGAAATGCTTTATCAGGTTAATTAGCCAGCAAACTTATTACAGCACTACAGATAGGATAAGCTGCTCCAACAGAGGCAGCCGGAATATCACTGCGATATTCCAAGCAGATTTTCAGATTTCAATGGTGTATTTATAACTCAATGTGGTGGTGTGCTAACTTGGCTGTGAATAGTCAATCTACAAAACTATTGATTTTTTTATATATGTATATATAGTAAGAAATCCTAATTAGCATAAAACAGGCATAAACGCTTATTTCTTGACTGTTATGAATAAATTCTGAATGTTCTTCCATCTCTTGCTGACTGTGGAATGATTCTAACACGTGGTTGATCTCTTATCAGGGACAGAATCACAGTCTGAATCCCTGTGTCTGTCTTTGCATTGTTGCTACAAATGTAGCTGATGAAGTACAAAACCCCTATGTCAAGTTTTAACTAGTCAATTCCTTTGGTTTTGCTTTAGATGAATAAAAATATTTAGTGAACATTTTCATTAGCAGCTGAAGAAACAAGTCTTCTGGCTCAGGAATTTGTCAGACCCTAAACCAAATGTAGTATAAACTAATTCCTGGCAATGAACATGCAGTATTTCAGGCACTGAAGACTAAGAACTAAATGCTATGTGGTAAAAACACTGAGGTGAAGCATGAGCTGAGTTAAAGGTTGACTCAGCTTACAACAGGAACTAAGAAGCCATGTTTTCTCTTAAGCAAAGGAAATTTCTGAAACTGCCAAAAGAGCAAGCACTACACTTAGAGAATGACATTCAAATGATGTAACATCACTAGATAGTTATGTCTGTGTATGCAGCCCAAATTCTGTTCACTTTTTCAGTAGCATCCCATGACTTCTTTCTTAGTCCCTGGTAAAGGGTTTTAAAACAGCATTACAAAAAGAAAAGATGACTGTTCTTTGTACTCTCCTTCCTCAGGATGCCCTAAATTAATTATCTATAGAGCACAGTCAAATAATCCTAGCCCAGTTTTATAGCCCTCTCCTGAATTCCATGCTCATGCTAACAAAAAAGTGGTTTTTATCTCTGTCCTACCTCTCCGATCACATTTTTTTTTCCTCTCAGAATTAAAATTTAGTCTAACCTCTTAAGTTAGTACAAAGTTACTTCCACACAATTCAAGATGATCTCTCAAGTTCTTAGTATTAAGACACACAAAGGTAATTATGAAGTTATAAACCACAGACATTACATTAAGCAGTTAAACACACACACACACAGACAAAAAGAAATACTGCACAGTTACATACCAGTCATTCCTGTAGGAAAATATGCAGTACTTTCGAAAAGGTATCAGATGACATCAGTGTTAATAAGAAAATGTACTGCTTTTGGGATAGCCAAGTTTGTTGAGGTTGGGCTGACACGCAAACTGAATCATAGGTGGTGGCCCACACATGAGAATGAGCGTCTCGCTGCCGGGGGACGGGAGGTGGGTTTTAATCATGTCTGCAGTGACAAAGCCAGAACTGTACTTCCAATCTAAAACAAAGAAATTAAACTATTAATTTGTATCTTTGTACAGTCTGAAGCCTTTTTAAGCTGCATATGATGTACCCACAAAGTGGCTGAAGAATCAGCAAAGCTATGCCACCATCACTGCAAACACGAATACCCATGTTTCAAAGGGGATTCAGTAGAGTTCAACCTCTCCCTCCATTTTGAATTCAGTGTTACACCAGCCTCTATAGATTAATGCCTTAATCTATACACATGGCAGCTCTGTAGAATCTAATCTAGGGCTGCTGCAAAACAAAGATGTGCATTTTCTATTTACAGGTATTAAACAATTTAATGCCAACAAAATGCTAACATAATGTGATTCGGGAGTTAGCCCAAAACAGAGCTGTAACTTTTGCTAAAAAGTCCAAGAAACTGGCACATCCTGAAATGCATGAAAAGATCCACTGAGTAACATGCACCTTGCCCAACAGGAGTTAATTATTGATTCACACTTTCTAAGGCCCACCTGGTTTAGAACACTTTTCAAAACAAGTGTTGTGGTATTGTTTCTGAGGGGTTAGGGGGGCATTCTTTGCTGTTTAAATTAGTGTGAGACAAGAAGACTTGATATTATACCAATGGCCCCTTGAACAAGAGTGAAACTCTGACTGTTGTACTGTGACGAGCAAAGGCACTTCCAGGGTGTACCAGTAGCCTACCTTGTGGAGGTCTGTCCAGTGTATACCAAAGCGTGAACTGATCAGGATGCCTCTTAGCAATGTCTTCTAGCTCAGCTCTCAGTAATATATCTTTCTCTGTCTGCAAAATGAGACTGCTGTTTAGCTCCAAGCCATCTCAAGATGCTCTCTAATGTGAGCTCATCTGGCATTCAACAAGACAAATGCAATGATAACTCATTCAAACCAAGAAAGGGATTTTTTTCCCCCTTTACATGATAAGTAGGCTATTACCATTACAGGCTTCTGTAAATTCAGAGTAAGAACAACAAACTATGAGACTTAATAGCCACCTAAACACTGTCTTAAAGATGGCAATTTGAACAACTTTTAAACCCAGACTAAAATCACAATTAGCTGGATTTGTCTCTGACCCTGGCAAATACAGCCCTGTACCAGCATGGTGAAGGTTAACTGTAGAAACAGATTAACAGAACAAAATCCTGTTTCCTTGAAGTCAGTGAAGGAATAAAACATGTAGAGGGATAAGGATCTGTTCACACTGTTTATTCCCTAATACAGGAATTAAGGAGTGTAAGCGAAACCATGAGCAGCCATCTTCAAAACAAATAGAAGATCATGGGAACTATGACAGTATCATGTGGTATTTATAAGGGGCCTCATGGCTAATTTTTTTTATTCAGTTTCTCCCCTTATATCATTTTAACCCAAGACAATAGATTAAGAACTTACATAATAACCATTTCCTGCTCCTCCCTATACTGATCATTTTTAAATGTGCTATCTCAGATAATATTTTCTCATAAATGGTTGGGTGAAAATACAAACCCAAAGACAATGGAAGAGTATGAAACATGCAGAGCAGTATTTTCTCCAGGGGTCAATGTCCCATCAGTTTAAAAACTCAGAGACCAGCAAAACAAGTAGGCCATTAAAGAAGGAAAACAGATGAGTCAGTATACTCACCTGATTAGCAAAGAGAAGGTAACATTTTGTGGAGTCCTTAGGATCATTTGTGATATGACGGATCAGCTGCAACATAGGAGTTATTCCTGTTAAAAAAAAAAGCAGTTAAAAAACAGGTGTCTCTTTCAACCCATGTAAGGCTGCAAGTTTCAGTATTAATGCTGCCTTCCTTCAGTCTTCAGTGGGAGCTTAGTTTGCACAGGGCTACATACCTCTGAATTTCTAATCGATGCCAAATGCAGAGGTTGGGTGTTTCTATTATTCCAAATCATTTCAAAACAAAAGCAAAACCACATTACTTGTATCTGGGGCTTTCCTCTTCAGCATTCTGTATTGCATACAGTAATTTTACCCTCAAGACATTCTCCTAAAATATTTTTTTGTCGCTGATACTGAAGCTCAGAGAGACGAAGTACCTCCTCTGAGGTCACACAGTAAATCAAGACTAAAGCTCTGAAGTTGCTAGCTCCAAGCACTGAGCTCAAGCCACCGGAAAGCCTCAGTGTCACCAAATACTCATGAAAAGAAATACAGGTGAAAGTCCGCTGTTATTAAAGTACAGTGCTTAATACTCCTCACACGCATCCATAAAGATATTCCATGAGAATAGTTTTACCTGTTCCTCCAGCTATCATCCCAAGATTCTTTGCAAACTTCTTCTCTGCTTCAGACTTCTTATGAGGTTTGATAAGAAAGGTACCTAGAGGAAATATTCAAAACCTATAGGTACATTAACTCCTAAACAAACATGGATACAACTTCCATGGGAATGAATTGCTACAGCCTACCAATTAATTGGCACAGATCTTCTGGAAATGCTAAATGGACTCTGCACAGCATTGAGCGTGAAGAGTAGAAACCTCTTTGTCTCTGTAAACTCCAATCCTAGCTTTGAACAACTGATTTCCTCCTTCCCTACTACCCAACATAATTTATAATAAACTCAAGGATTCCCACATCACTGCCTAGAACACAACTTGGCAACGGTGAGTGTTAGTGGTCGCTAAAGGTACCCACAGCCCCTACTACAGAGAAGCAGGTTTCTTAGGCCATCTTCATCCTCCTCACTTGCACCATGGATCTACATATTTGTGTGTGTCCATGTTCAATGGAGTTGTATAAAAACAGCATCGAGCAAAAAGTCCCTGCAAATATTAGAATCAGGAATGTTGGAGCCTTGCATACTTTTACCATCAAGCACTTTATTACTGTGATTCACTTCTAATTAATGAGATCCCCATGACACTTGCAGTCAGCTAGGTGACTACCTTCTAGTATCCTGTGATGAGAAGACCTTGCCGATTTCTGCTCCACACCTGGGTATACCATTGGTTCAGAACTGTCAGAAAACCAGACAGTCTGTAATTGAATGAACCTCCAAGGACCAAGCCAAGTGAAAAGCCCATGAAAAGTATCTTACATGAAAAGCACTTGACATATTCCAAACATCTTTTAAGAGATCTGTAACTAGTAACAAGCTTTCCTAGCTACTCCTCTTTATAGCAGCCAAAGCAGAGCAGAAACGTTTGTAAAATATGCATCGCTCATTTCCTCTGAGATACAACAGATTCATCAGTATATTACTCGTCATAGAAGGTTATGATCCAGAGAAGCACTGAGCTCTTATCCCCCCTGAAGTAGAGTTAAAGTACACAGTCCCTCTTAGTCAAGATCAAAGCAAAATCTTCCACTTGCATCTTGAAAGATGATTACTTCTCTGAACTTACTTCCTCCCAGTCAACTCAGACCTGGTTTAATCATGAAATAGAGCTGGCTCACAGTCAGCGGGGTTATTGAGTAACAGCTGTGAGATTCTCAGAGGGCATTTTAGGCTATAACCTCCCTTGCTTAAGAAGCATCTGGAACATCTCTCTCTATATGTATAGCTGGGGTACTATTTCCAGTGCAGCATTCTCAGTAAGGTAAGGCAATAGCGATTTTTTCAGATTTAATTATGTGGTCCCAGGAGTGAGACACCCACCAGCTATTCCTCACACAAAGTAAACACGAAGTACTCTTT